ATTATAATTATTATTTTTCAACATTCTATTAAGATTTGAGAAAGAATTTCGTAATTGGACAAGCGATAATTATGACATTGATCAATTAATTCAACAAGCACAACTTAATGCAAAGAAATTTAAAGTCATTATTGAATGAATACCAGGGTAATTGGAAAAGGAGTTCTTGAGGTGTTTGTTTAAAAAGTCTTTATAATTCTAAAAATATAAAGCGCGTATTTTTATAAGTACGTACGAATCTTAATTTACGATTATTAAAGTGTAGTAATCTTATTTACCCTAATTAATATTTTAGGTTGAAAGTCAACACAAACACGGGGCGACTTAGAAATTGCGATTTATGGAATAATTAATTACATGGTCATGGAGTATGCGAAGCAGGGAAGTCTACGAAAATTGTTAGATATGGTGTTCGAGTCACGGGTAAAAATTTAGGAATGCCTCCAAAGGCATGCCCTGAGTTAAATTTACTATTACAAATGTGCTCTGAGTCAAGGTATGCCCTTGCCTCTGTGCCTCGAACCCAGTTAGATAGTAAATATGATGGGGTTCTAAAATAGCTAACCTATATAGCTGATGGTAAAGCACGAATTTTTAGAAGTACGTACGAATCTTAATTTACGATTAAAGTGTTAATATTTTAGATTGAAAATCAACACAAACATGGGGCGACTCGACAATTGCGATTTATGGAATAACTAAGAACCCGTAAGATGGTAATTACATGATCATGGAATATGCGAAGCAAGGAGGTTTCTAAAAATTGGTAGATAGTAAATACTGTATGATGAATCAGATTGAGCTTCTAAAATAGCTAACCTATATTATACAGTTATATAACTGATGAGCTTAAGACAATTCATAAAGCCAAATAAGTGCATAAATGTTTTCATTCCGGAAATATAATTAATCATAATTCTGTAATTGACTCGAAAATTTTCTAATAACCAATAAATCACGTAATTATAGTAAATAACGTAAATAACCTGGCATATATATATAGTAAACTAGCAGTTAACCCGTGGCTTTGCCACGAGAGTTTAATAAAAATTTAAACAAAACTAACAAAAAAAACTACTGTACAAACCGCTTTAAATTGCAAAAATAAGAATTTATTATACACAAAAGTTATCAGCTTAATGTTAAGAAACCTTCAAATTGTCTTCGTAAAGACAAGACAAAATATAACAACCAAATCCCATCAACTCATCCAATAACATCGCTGTGCTACTTGACCATGCATACCACATGAAAATCGGGTTTATTGTCATTATGTTTAACGTTAATACAAACATGTAGATAATAAAGGTTAGCTTTAGAGGTTGCTGTTTTTATAATTTTATGAATTATATATAAATTAAACTTATATATGTTTGTATACATACAAACATGAATTAGCATTATTGCCATTGTCATTTAAAAAAAAATTTTTTATGACTTGTCTTTTTGTCATGGTTTTGTATAAAATTTTTTTATAATAAATGACATTGACATTTTAAAATGGCATTTCATTTATAGTAATTTCTATGACTTTGTCATTTACGTACCATCACTACTACCTGCTCTGCTATACACTCACTATGTTTGTAATTACAATATATTGTATACTTGAAAAAAAGACGTTTACAGTATTAATCTAAAGAGCATGTTAAGAGGGCTTCAGTAATTATAACTTAACATGTTTATTCGTTCAAGAATTACCGAGTTTAAATTTTATCAGAATTTTGGCCAATGATTCGTGGCCTGCATTATATTTATAAATCGTCTGATAAGAGACACCCATAATTATTTTAATTAGTAAAATAAAATTCTAATGTTGTTACATTATAAAGACACCTTTTATTAACTATTTTGTTTTTATAGAATTAAAAAGCAGAAATATTATGGGAGAATTGAAGTGTAGTAACGGTAAATTCGGATTTTTTATAAAAACCTAATAGTGATGAATCACTATGTTATTAGACCGCAATTCTTGAATGTGTGCCAAGTTTAAAAAATTCTAATGATAACAATAATAAATTTATAAATTTAATAAAACGAAAACACTATTTTTTAACGTTATTTTTACTCGAATCGTGTTCTTGTTATTTTCAAAAAAGCACGTTTCCCTTCATTTTTTTTCATAATCTTTAGCTACTAATATTATTGTTTTGAATTCAAAAAAATATTTGTATTCTTACTTTTATAATGTTTATAAATTATAATTTACAGGCAAACCCGTCAAAGTTCTTAATATAATATGCGCATAAAAAAAAAAAGGCTTTAACAAAAATAAAAAAAATTCTTTAAATGGAAAAAAACATTTCTCATAATCTACTCCGAATCGTATCTTAAAAAAGAATAATACTAGTGTTTCTTAATGTTAAAGACGTTTCACTTTTATAATTAAAATTTTATAATCTGTTATCCTTATATACTTGCGAAATTACTATACTTTACTTACATATTAAGTACAGTAAACTCTCTTTATAATAATACCTTTTTATAATCTAAAAATTAAAAATTAAATTATTATGCCTTCAAGTCATAAAAAAAAATAGAAAACATTCAAAGTACAGGAAGTTTTCGTTAAAAGAAATTTTACGAATGCATTGTACTGTATAAAAGAGATCATTGTGGTTAGCTAATGCGCCATCAACCTGGCACACATTCAAGAATTGCAATTAGACCGATGATACGTATAGAGAGTACTCTAAAAATAATATAAATAATTTGTATGCTTTTTTTGTGGAGGTTTGATTTTATGTTATTAATAAAAAAAATTGTTAATCAAAAATTTTCATGTTTTCTATGCCTTCTATGTCTTCTTTACTTGGTTCTATTGCAAGGTTACCTGTATTATGTACTTTCAGACAAACCGTCTTTTTTTCATCTATTACTACACTATTCGATAAATACCTTGTAAGTTCGCGAAAGATAGCCAGAGATAAACTTAAGGGACGAGGGTTTCCTTCCAATATCAGCACTACTGCATCTGGTTTTGATCTAAAAGATTTACAATTATTAAAAGTGAACTTTCAACCAACCCCGTTTAAAAACGATATCCTTCCTAATGTAGATGGTACGAATTATACTGTGCAAAAAAATTCCTTTAATAAACCTAATATTTACAATTTGATTATTGTTTAGTCAGTGACTTTCCGGAAGAATACATTCTTCCAAATATTAGTAAGAAGGAACTCTTAGACACAAGTTTTAATGTCGAAAGCTTTAAGGAAATTTCAGACCATCAGGTTCAAGCATTCTTAACTGACCTACACGAAGTTATCAAGGATTTACATTCCAATGAAGGTATGGAGGGATCTGAAACAGATACGCTGGTATATAATCTACTATTTCAAATTGTTGGTTTGCATCGCTATCCATTGAAAATTAGGTAAGCAATTATAAGATATATATTTTGTTTATAACATTTTTTAAAATTTATATTATATCTAAATTTAGAAAGCACCCACGGTGCAGGCTATACATCGCAAGCGAATGTTACATGATAGCAAAACCTGAATTCGTTATTAACAGAAAGAATATTTCTATGATTGTCATAGAGGTTTGTGTGTCTTAATTGGTTGGAAGCTTTTATTTTTGTAGGCCCAAATAATTTTTTTTAACAGGGCAAGCATATAAAAAATAAAAACCTTATCCCTTCAAAAGGCTATGGGGAGGCACGATTGGCCGCAGAAATACTTGCATGTGCGAACGAAAACATGCTTCATACTGCACATCAAACTGACGTAATTTTGGATCAAATTATATTTGCCGTCAGGGTTGTTTCTACATATTTTACATTTTACAAGGCCATAATTCCTAGCGGATACTGGAATGAACTTGGTTATGGATTGCTAAAGAAGGAGTCAATTATAATTAAAAGATGGCCAGAAGATATGCGTCCAGCAAGTGGTCTGGTTATCGTAGAACCAAGTGGAAGACAAAATGTATTGAAAGCATTTTTCAAAATTCGTAAACATCTTTTGCAATAAAGATAATAAAGATTACGATTAATTTTAATAAAGCATTTATATTTGTCATTCTAAGAACTTCTATGTGACTCGTATACAATTGATATATTCGCATGATAGTCTTATCTTAATCACATTTGCCTTCATCTGGTTCTTTGCTCTTTGCGGTTCCCATCAGTAAGGCAGCCGGGGATATTATTTAATAAAAATAAAAATTTTATTACTTTACCTAAAGAGATGTGATACGTACCAATGACACGATAAGATTTTATCTACTTTAACTATGATTTATTATTTGAGCATAATCACATGGAAAATTGTACTATGTAGAGTATATGTCAAAATTCGTGGAAAATAAGCACAGCACCCTCTACCCTGCTTTTTTCAATTTCAGATTAACGGGAATAACTTGATTAAAGATTTTATTG